GAGGGCGGGAGATGTTCCCAGGTACATCCTGTCCCCGGCTACCCAAATGATTACCTCAGGTAGGTTTTTATACATATATTTTTGTTTGAGATGTGATCTAGATTTAACCTACATTTGAAGTAAACTTAATTTCCTTTAAAAAATTATGTCAAAATATGCGGAATAGAACTTTTTAATACAGCTGAAGTCAATTCCGAAATGATGGTCGAATACATTTTCATTCTGGAAGATAACGCTCCAGATAATCAAGTTTGTATGTATACAGTAGATGTAGGTTGTTCGTAATACAACCCTATAAGAACTGTAAGAGCTTTGGCAGCTGAGTTTGTTGGTCAAAGTATCAATCAAAACTCGTTTCATGTCTAGAGATGTTGTGTGAAATGATCAAATGCAATGAGTGAGTGAGGGAGTTTAGTTTTACGCCGTTTTTAGTAATATTCCAGCAATATCGCTGACGGGGACACCAGAAATGGGCTTTACACATCGTATCCATGTGGGGAATTGAACCCGGGTCTTCGGCGTGACGAGCGAACGCTTTAACCAGTGGGCTATCCCCAACGCCCTCAACTACAATGAACAACGGCACCTTAAAATTGAAAAACGCTGACAACATCTTCACCCTAAAGTTCTCCCGTGATAGTATTATTTTAAGATGTTTTTAATTAATGTGTTCTTCCTTTTGCAGTAATTTGAATTGTGTCTGGGTCTTAACGGCAACGTCCAAGCACGTTATTGCCTTGGACATCTTGTACAACGTCTTTGATGAAAGCACTGACTGTGTGAACGATTTTGTCCAAGTCTACGACAGTAAGTACATATTTTATAAAGTTTTGGTGTGTGAAATTATAAAGTTAAAATTGATCAACAATGATTGATGCAATGTCATAATTACATCAAAATGACTTGTATTTGCGACAAAACCCACACGCCATACACGTTTACAGACACACACACGCGCACACACGCACATACATACACACATACATGCACACACATGTATGTCTAGAAAGTACAAATGTATCAATCATATATGACATAACATATTTCACATACACGATAAAGGTATGCGAATATTTAAACGAATATTTACAAGAAGTGGCTTAAACCTGATATATTTATTCCTGTCTGCAGTAAATAATGCCAATGAACCGTTAGGACCACTGTGCGGGGTCCACAAAGGCACACTAATCACGCGGCGATCCATTATGAGAGTTGTCTTCAAAACCAATGGCGTTGGCTCCGGGTCTGGGTTTCGACTGAAGTACAGGATGGTAGACTATGACGGTAAGCAGCACGGATCTTTACCATGAAGTGGGATGTTTCGTTCGTGTGAAAACAAAAAGGACAACGCTCGTAGACTCTACTAGGCCCCATGGTCTTTTTCATCATTATTCAAGATCAATGATTTTCGAGATCCCAGGATGAGCTAATGCGTCTTGTGACATCATTGATTATATTACCAGAGAGCATCATTGTCCCCCGTCCCGAATCTTATTAACCCGATATCTCATGAACTGTGTACCCAATGTCTTCAAATGTGGTGACAGCCTACACTGGCGGATTACACAGACACCAGTCGATTTTAGTGACCTTGACCTTAATTTCAAGGTCACCTCGACACTTTGACCACTTTTGAAGCTCTTGTTAACGCGATATCTCATGAACTGTTGTACCAAATGTCTTCAAATTTGGTGACAGCCTACATTGGTTGATTATCCAGACACCAGTCTATTTGGGTGACCTTGACCTTATTTTCAAGGTCGCCACGACACTTTGACCACTTTTGAAACTCTAGTTAACGCGATATCTCATAAAACATTGCACCCAATGTCTTCATTTATGTCGACAACCTATATTTGGGGATTGCCCAGACACCAGTTGCTTTGGGTGACCTTGACTTTATCTTCAAGGTCACCACGACACATTGACCACTTTTGAAACTCTTGTTAACGCGATATCTCATAAAACATTGCACCCAATGTCTTCATTTATGTCGACAGCCTACATTGGGTGATTATGCAGACACCAGTCATTTCAGGCATCTTGTATGTGACCAAGAAATAAAAAGTAGTAAATGTGTGATAAATATTCCATTCTTTTGCGGCGGGGGACATTGCCATATCAGTGGCAAACACTTGTTTCGTGATGGTTCAGAAACTATTGTCTCTTTCTTCTTGTAAAACATTACCATTAACGAATTCTAGACAATGGCAGATTACAAAAGTGTTAGCTCGATCTACGCACACGAAAACTGAACGACCTTGTTGAATCCCTCTATCTGCTCAGTGGTGAACAGTACTAGTGTTGTCATATGGGTGTTACTGTTTGTCTACAGATTCCTACTTCACCACACAGACTCCATCAGCAACTGCACTTACAGCATCATCGACTCCACAGAACCTTACGTCTCCCGGCTACCCTGTCCATTATTACAAGTAATGTTTAAGTCCTAATAACATGCTGGAATTTTAGTGGTCGTGATCTGTAAATGTCAATATTTGCTATTTCTGGCTCACCTGGCTGAAATGCAAGTGAACATTTCTCCCTTAAAAACTACTGGACCGATGAAGATAGCCGATTTCACTCCTTTTAATTCAATTATGATGACACCCCAGTTTTTTTTAATTTTGAATTCGTTTTTCAATATGACTGCCAAGATATATTTTTCTGGAAGTTTATGTGGCTGAGTGGGTAAGACCCCAGGATATCTACGTGACTGAAGAAGTGTAATCCCAAACATAATATTACATTTGACAACGTATTAAACGGCATAGTTTATTCACAGCTTTCGACCGAGGGAGCCGTGCCAATCTACCCTTTTTGAGGATTGCACAAAGTACTTGACTCAAAGTCTTTACTGAGAAAGTGTAAAACTCAACTCTTTGTTTGGGTATATCTATTGAAGCTCTCCTCTAAATGAATCAGTGTCATTAAGAGATAAGAACACATATATTTATTATATTGTTTGCTTGGTTGTGATTTTGTTTCAGTAACAAGTATTACATATGGACGGTAACTGCCAGATCGCCGACATGGCTTGTCCGAATTAAGGTCTTATCTTCCGACATGGATGCTTTCGATTCAGCCTGTCATCGAGATTTTATCAGCGTCTATGACGGTATGAACAACATCCACATTAAGACTGATTTTGTAAATATTGTATAGTTTGATTATCATTTCACAGTGACTCTCCCGATTCTTTCTTTGTAATTATTCAGGGAGGGTGGGCTAGACTGGTGGTTAAAGCGTTGGCTCGTCACGCCGAAGCCCCGGGTTCGATTCCCCACATGGATACAATGTCTGAATCCCATTCTTGGTGTCCCGACCGCGATATTGCTGAAATATTGATAAAAGCGGAGTAAAACCATACTCACTCACTTCTAATTTTTCAGGTGTTTGGTTTGTGTATATTTGCTACCTCTGTGCAAAGAAATAATGCTTTCCACATTTCTTTTCCACATGTGAAATGACTATTTTACATGGCACAAAATGTCATAATAATTGATGAACGTCAGTATCGCTGTTATTGGTGTCCAAATGAGCTTTCTCAAGCCAACAAAGGGGACACTGTATACATTCATGGTGACATAATTCTACATCATCAACAGGGCCAACACCTTCCAGTCCACTGCTGATTCACATTTGCGACTCGATGACCCCAACGCTCCAGAGTACCGGGTCATCTCTGACGGTCACCTTTCAGACGGACTCAAATTCCGTTTATAAAGGTTTCCTAATGGAGTACTACGAAGTGCCAGGTAACAGCCCGAGTCTGTTATATTTTTTGTAAATGCGAAAGGTGGAATGACACTATAAATTATGTTTCTGTGAATGGTAATTGTTAAATGTTCAGAGTGTAGCTTCAGTTATATATCTGGTATCAAAGTTGTGTATAACTTATACAGCTGTGACATAACTATTATATTTTTCTACTTGTTGGGACTTCAATTTTGCAGAAAGAAGAGACAAACAATGTTCATTGAATCTTCTTAAAGCATTATGTAATGGTGTTTTATTTAATTAATTTATACTTGTTGCACTTTTTCAGGAAACGCTGGCCTAACAACGCCCCCACCTACCGAGACAACACTAACAGCCGACAGCAACCCAAGGAACTTAACGTCACCTGGATTCCCAGTCGCATATACTAAGTACGACAGCACTGTCTGGGACATCTGAAAATATCGATACCAACATTACAGCTTGTGACATATTTGGTGAGTGAGTGAGTGAGAGAAATTAGTTTTACGCCACACTCAGCAATATTCCAGCTATATGGCGTAGGTCTGTAAATAATCGAGTCTGGACCAGACAATCCAGTGATCACTAGCATGAGCAGAGAGAGAGAGAGAGAGAGAGAGAGACCCATACATACATACTAACATTTGTGTAGCTCAGCTGCTCATAGGCGCTTTGTTTTTCCCTCGATCACTGGATGTCAATCTCAACGGCGCGTCGTATTATCAATCTCAACTCCCTGGGGAACATACAACTCAAATGGGTATAACAGCGCATTCAAGGCTTTTACACTTACATGGCCATCTGTGTCAGAATTAGTCCACTGAGTAAGTGAATGAACACATCTATCTGTTTGTCTGTCTGGGTCGTAAAATTAACTTTTTACTCTTAATAGATGATACTTACTAAACGTAAACTTTCCCGGATAATACTCTGTATCCATGTAACTTTTTTTAACGCCTTCGTGATAATCATGGCTATATTCGGCCAATGGGTCTAAACTTTTATACAACATTTTTCAAACACACCCATTTATCTCTTCATGTATAATGACGTAGTGACGAAGAGGCTATCTGGACCATCACGGCAGCCAATCACAGTCAAATAGTCCGAGTTCGAACTTTGCAGTTCCAATTACAAAACAGCGACGGTTGTACGAAGGACTACCTCGCCTTCTATGACGGTGTGTACAAAAAGATACTTTAATGAGTTACACAATTTCTAATACACATTTTGATAAACTAGTCAGTTTGAAATATACTATGCCAGAAAAGAAACGCATAGGTAAGAAATCTGTTGCAAAAATGTTGTATTTTCAAACATGTATAACTCGTCCACAAATAGACTTTAGTGCATGGATTTTTACATCCGTTTAGAAGAAGGAAATTTTAGATAACGGAGACGTTGAGCGCGATGATGACGGCGTAGCACGGTCCCTAGCTCCTAGCTCTCAGTGCAATCTCTCTCTCAACCTGTTCCGTGCAGTTTGACCGGATATCATCCGAAGTCCAGGTACCCTGGCTGCTATGCTCTCACCTGTGGCAGTTCGATCACGCAAATGTAGTACCGGGATGTACCGATCTTGGGCTGAAGTGGTGACTCGAGGTCTGCCTGTACGGGGACGGTCATTTGTAATACCTGTTTGGTTTTAACGAGCTGCAAGCCGTGATATCGTGCTCAGATTAACATTCAGACGCCTGACAACAAAAGATTGGTTATGTGCAGCGTGCATTCTTTCAGTGTTGATGTTCCGTGTCGCAGCGTCAACTCCTTCAAAACGAATGCCGATTTCCGAAAGTAATCTGGATTTTTGCATGTCTTTGCTGCACAATTTCAACTGGAAGATGATTTTTGTTGCGTTGTGGCCATGCGTTTTTAATCCTTGTAAGAAATCTCATCAAAATCAATATTTTCAGGTAAAGTCGAATTTTTACTTGTGCAATCGTGCAAAATCATGTTATCAACAGTTTTGTTACATATATTGACGATTGTTTGAGCACAATAGGTAAATAATAGATTTTTTTTAAATACACAATGCCTGTGCGTTTCTTTATGGGAATAATATATGTTACTAAAGGATTAATACCATGACATTTCAGCAGTTATGACTAAATGTTTTTTTAAAACAAAACTATAATCGAAATATAACATTTAAATATAAAGTTCTCTTTGCAGGGAGCATTTTTTTAATGATGCTTGTACACAATTTACATGTGGCAATTTATTGGACTACTATATATTACAACCAGGTAGCACTGTGAATGACCCTTTACTGAAGATTAAATGTTATCGGACAAGTGAAACGATTGACAGTACTGGTCCTTCCATTACGCTCAAGTTCTCCACTGACGACAGATACGTCAGGGAAGGATTCCAGCTAGAGTATTACTCATTCACAGGTAAACAATGACAATGTATATTTGTGTATACTTAATATATAACAGCCTCCGTGGTGTAGTGGTTAGAGTGTCCGCCCGGAGAGCGGAAGGACTTGGGTTCGATCCCCGACCGCGTCATACCAAAAGACGTTAAAATATGGTGCTTGTTGGTCCCTGCCTGGCGCTCGGCATTAATGGGTACAACAAGGACTGGTAGGCTCGGAGTCAGTATACTGTGTCTGAGTGGGGTATTCCTGCTTCACTGCGGCATGGTATCTCGGTGGGATAGCACTATAAAACCAGTTTCAGTCTGGCTAGTACAAGCAGCCGCACATACACATACACACGCATGCACATCGTCATATGAGCGAAATACTCTCAAGCACGACGTTAAACCCAATTTCACCTTACCTCACCTCACTTAATATATAACTAACAAACCTTCTCAAAGGGAGATAGTCTGTGGTCACATTTTCAATAATATTTTCAACACAACTGACTCGGATTATATGTTTTGTTTTACATTTTGTGTGTTTCTATATCTATATGTTTGTAAGCAGACATTTATGTATAAATAAAAGCGACAAAACCCTTTCCACATTCATAAGAAATCTCTGCAAAAAACTCCGAGTCGATTGTACTAATGTGATTATATCATGAGCATAGATTTGTTTTAGCAGTACTGCAGGTGTACGATGTTGTTTGTAAACAAATCGAGTCTGGAACAGTGAGTGAGTGAGTGAGTTGAGTTTTACGCCGCACTCAGCAATATTCCGGCTATATGGCGGCGGTCTGTAAATAATCGGATCTGGACCAGACAATCCAGGGGTCAAAAGCATGAACATCGATCTACGCCATTGGGATGCAATGACATGTGTCAACCCAGTCAGCGAGCCTGACCACCCGATCCCGTTAGTCGCCTCTTGCGACAAGCATGGGTTACTGAAGGTTCATTCTAACCCGGACCTTCACGGGTGAGTCTGGAACAGACAATATAAGATGTAACTTAAATTTATCTCCATGTCTGTATAAAGATATTATGCATTATTCTAGCATTTGCAATCTGTGTGTGTGAGAGAGAGACAGTGAGAGAGCGCTGTGTGTGTGTGTTACTATAGTGTTGGATTTATCATGATTGATGTGGCAGTTTGACGTAATGTCATCAATAATGTCAGATCATCTAGAACAGGTTTCTTCTTCTATATTTTATAAATGCGACGGTTTAGTAAGCCATTGGTAGTTTGATCCTTCAAGATAAAACACGTATTAAATCAGCACTTGCTTGATCTGCACATGAAGAACTAAAGATGTTTAAACCAAGTCAACCATATCCAACTCCTGACTCACTGACAGAGGAGACATAATGTACATCAATATCCTTTGCAGAGCTTGAACCCAACGCTTGCAACGGAACTGTGACCGCCTCCAGCCGTGAGAAGTACCTGACAACACCAGGATACCCGGGAGTCTACTCCAAGTAAGTGAGACTGGTATAAAGCTGATTTCGGCAGTATTTGTCTTACATTACTGTGGGAGGAAAGACTTTAGTTATGAACGACTTTTTGTCAAATTGGTGAAGCGTGTGTGTGTGAGTGAGTTTGGTTTTACGCCGCTTTTAGCAATATTCCAGCAATATCACGGCGGTGGATACAAGAAATGGGCTTCACACATCGAACCCAAGTGGGGAATCGAACCCAGGGCTGAAATTTGGATTTTTAAATGAAAAGTATGAAGTTCTGGACGTAGCCCTGTCGCACACTTGATATAGAATCAAATATCACAGTCTTACCAGAGTTATACAAGACAAATCTTATGGATAACAACTTCTTGATTTATTTTACACAACGTTTCGGGGCTAGTTCTTGCCCCTTCGTCAGGTGGATAATGATGATATTGAACAATACAGTATATCTATACATATTGATGTACAGGAAGCCAGATAAATAAATAAATATATACAAGCACAAGGGGGAAGGAGATATAATTAAGTATGTACAAACAATGCAGTGAGATGAAGGAGAAGAATACAATGATAGGGTATGTTTTTACAATAAGAACAAGAGTATGTTTACACATATCATTATCCACCTGACGAAGGGGGCACCTTGGCTTCTGCCTAATTAACTTACATTCACTAATTCACATGATAATCCCACTCATCTCATTTTGTTATCCTCAGTTCATCATCATGTCATTGTAGCTCATCATGTAACTTTCTTTGATGCTTTGTTTCCCCACCCTTGTTATTGTTATCGCATTATCTTATCTTGTATATAAACTGGTGTACCCCATCATTCCCCCATATGCTTGAAAACGTTATAAGAACCTATACCATAAAATTGTGTCATCTCTAAAAGATGTAAATATCCTTAAATCCGTCGCAATATTTATATATATATATATATTCCTGTTGGAGTTTTTTCCTCAAAGTTTTATATAGAATTCTGGCTGTAGAGGGGATATATCCAAAGACTTGAAACGAGCTAGATATGTTGAGTTTGAAATTTCATCATGCCATTTTTTGAGCACAGATATATCAGTTAAACGTTGCTTTAGTTGATAAATTAAACTATTTTCGTTTCCTACATCCTGGGAAAACCATACATGTCAGAATAAACAAGAAAACAGCCGACTCCTTATTTCCAATGGCCAATTTACTTTTCCTTTTTCATCTAAGATTTTCAGCATTGAATAGGATTGATGAGTCTGTTCCAGTATTTGACAGCTTGTAGTTCTGTACATATGTATAATGGGTATATCGTCCAATTTTCTCCCAGAATTGTATCTTTTCTATACTTTCTTGATATTTAATTCCCCATATCTCAGACACATAGAGCAGTATTGGTTTAGTTTTACTCTCACATATGTGACAGGCAGACATAAATGATAGTGATAGGTATTGTTTGAAGAGACTGTAGATGGGAATGACGGATTTTCCAGCTTGAGCGGAGAGACTCTTATATTAATTATAATATTATATTTATTTGTTTTGTGCAAATTCACTTCAAGTCCTCATTTCTTACAAAAGGTTCATACATAATCAAGTTGCCGTTGTAATCTATTATAGTATATGAAAAAGTCACAACATCTTCTGCAAACAGAAGAAGTAACGGATCCTCAATAGCCGGTGAGACGAAAATTCCCATGGTTAGACGCAGAAAACATTTCACTCTCAAGTTTATTGATAAAGAAAATAAAGTACAAGGGTCTCAGACTACATCCCTGTCGAACTCCTGTGTTTGTTGTAAATAACGGGGTCTTTTCACAATTATTTTTGACACATGATATGAATATATTTATAGTGTAGATCGACAGCCTTGGCTTCTGAACAAAACGATTTTTTTAGAATTTAGATGAATATAAATCAAGTTGACCTGGGTTTTTATGATTGTACATGGGTAAGAGTAGTTTTTATCATGATCAGGATATACGTATCCACAGAGGCGGAGATAACTAAGATACCAAAATTCGTATTATTTACCGTTGGAGTGAAAATTCATGGTGGTTGGGAAATGGGGAAACACGAAGAAATCGGACAATGATCAGTAGAAATCTCCACTATCCTGACCTCAATAACTGATAAAAATAGAAATGATAATAATAATACAATTACAGAGGCACAAGCTGGATTCAGACATGATTATTTAACAACAGACCATATTTTCACCCTGCAAGCTATGGTTACTGAATATCTGTGAAAGAAAAATGGAAGGCTCTATTGCCTTTTTATAGACTTTTCCAAGGCATTCGACTCTATTAATCACAAATTACTTTTCAAGAGCTTGATAGAAAAGGGTGTAAAGGGAACATTTCTTAAATTTATTATCCGCATGTATTCTACACTGTGTGCCTGTGTAAGAACTGATTCAGGCTTATCATCCTATTTCAAATGTAATATTGGTACCCGCCAAGGATGCACTTGGAGTCCACAGACTTTTATTATATTTATAAATAATTTTTCTCAAATTTTGGTGGAAGAAGGTGGAAGGGGCGTCTTTATATCAACTCATATTTCTGATGCATTTTCTCCATTATGATGTTTCAACTGTAGCAGGTACCGCTTTACAGCTTCAAAAGAAAATTAATATTGTGGAAATGTAGTGTTTTTTAAATGGTAAACAAAAAGAAGTTGTGAGCATATACAAATATCTTGGGATTGTGTTCACTCCTAAACTGTCATGGACTAAAGCCCAATAATGTTTAGCAGCTCAAGCAAGTGAAGCTTTGTTCTCCATTTATAATTACCAAAAACATTTTGGGTGTATTCATCACAATGGCACTTTTATGACATTTGACTCCATGATTACACCTATTTTGTGTTATGGATCAGAGGTTCGGGGAACTACTTTTTGCAAACAAACTGAAACTGCACATTTTAAGTTCTGTAAGACTTTTCTCAAAGTCAGAAAGTATACCAACAATAGCATGGCGCTTAGAGAGTGTGCACTCTGCAATATCACTATACCCCTAGAGCATTAAAGTACTGGTGCAGACTGATGCAGCTTCGACACCATAGACTTCCTTATCAAGCCTACCAAATGCTCAAATCTCTTGATGATAATAATAAATCTACCTGGGCTTCACACATAAGACTAATTCTTTTTCAGTATGGTTTTAGGTTTGCATGGATCTCTTAAGAAAATAGCTGCATTAAAACATATATGTCTATCTTCAAGCAGCGGTTTTATGACTGCTTCCTTCAATACTGGCACACCTCACTTGACTTTTTATCTAAATGTAAATACTATTCACAATTTAAATCGTTACTTAATGTTGAACACTACTTGTCCTGTGACCTCCGACCATATCAACGGAAAGTCATAGCTATGTTCCGCTGTAACAACGTTAGATTAGCAGTGGAAACCGACCGCCACACAAATACACCCTATGATCAACGTCTCTTCCTCTACTGCCACTCCGTTGGTATAAACTATGTTGAAGATGAGCTCCATGTCCTACTTATCTGTGGCAAATATTGTGAAATAAGAAAGGAGCGTCTCACAACCCATCAGACCCAACAATTGAAACCTTTGTGCGTCTAATTAGCTGTAACAACATAAATTATCTAAAAACATTAAGGGCATGTATTAAAACTAAGAAGTAAACCCACCATTACAATCAATTGACCTTGTATTTCAATCGTTATCCTACCTCCAGCATGTATTATTTATATTTGCATTATGTTGCATTATGGGTATTATGTTACTGAAACAAAATGTCAGTCTGTCTGTCAGAAATCTCCACTAACACAGGTTGCATTGTTTGATTCCGATAAGCGTGTGCATTGCCTGGTCCAGACTCATCACATCCAAAATGTGCTGATAGATGCTCATGATGTTGATCACTTAATTATTTAGACCGTCGTCATATAGCTGAGATATTGCTGAATATGACCGTACACAACAAGCAAACTCCGCACCAGTACACTAATTGGATGTGGACATAGACGACTGGTTATACACTAGGCCTTTCTGAATATTTAAGGAATGTGGCTCTTTTCATTGGCAGCAATATAGACTGTGCGTGGACAATACGAGGAGTGTATGGGACACGAATAACAGTAAAAGTGGTGGATGCAGACATTGAGAGTTCACCAGGCTGCAAAAACGACTACGTACAGGTCATTGATGGTACGTGGTAAATTTAGAGACTTGACAACCGAATTGCAAAACCAGATGAGGGTGCTTGTGATGTTTAAAGTTTCGCATATTTTGTCCTGAATGAAGAAAAAGGAACGGAATGAAATGAGCATTAGCGCACACAACAAGGCCTCGTCAAAGCCTCGTCGCTGATTAAAACCTTTATGACTTACTTTTCTCTCTCTGTATCTTCAACTGTTCACAGTTGCAGACGGTTCTAAAGAACTCGGCCGCTTCTGTGGCACGGACAAGAACACCTATGTCAGTTCAGGGCTGGATGTCGAGATCGCTATCCACAGTGATGGTAACACAAGAGGGCGTGGCTTTAAAATCATGTACACTGTAGGAGATCAACGTACAGCAGCTGCGCCAACTACACGTAAGTGTATGAAAACGTTTGTCTTTTTTTTTGTTGCTGTATTTTGTTTTCTGTTATTTTTCCAAATACATTTTTTGTTAAATATTTCTACTATAAAACATGTCAATTGTACTTTTAAAGAAACTTCAAAAACTTTTGTTGGGCACTTTGCCGCAATGATAAGAGCGAGTGAGTGAGTATGGTTTTATGCCGCGTTTAGCAATTTTCCAGCAACATGACGGCGGGGAACACCAGAAATGGGCTTCACACATTGTACCCATGTGTGGCAACAATAAGAGAAGATCGTTTTGCAAGAATATTTGCGTACACAGCTACTGTGTGTGTGGTTAAGTCTCATTTTCATGTTGTATAAACGAATATATGATCTTTCTGTTAGGTAAGCGTAGGTGTGCACACCTATGCTTTTGTTAGTTCTGTCGACTGTCATAAATGGCAGCTACATGTAAATGTTTATATTCTGTTGATATATGGAAAAAGCTATTAGAATGGATTGGAAATTATACAGAAGGCAAAATCACCTTTATTGAAGAACATATATTGTTTGGCTTAAAGGGTTAACATAATAATCATTTAAATGTTGTTATCATGATAACAAAATCTCTCCTTTACAAAGGACAAGGTATGATTAGGGTGGATTTTGGCCCACAAATAGAATTGGCTGAACACATGTTATTTGTTTAGAGACAAGATAGCTTTGCATAAAAAAGCTATTTTTTAAATGATCTGAGGCCATAATTTCAATGCAGGGGGGCCCAAAATGGGTTTTATCAGTTTAACAAGATGTGTGCCATAATGACTTATATACAACTATCAGTTTATTTACATACAAAAAGTATCAGTTTTACAACAGGTATTCATGATGAAGAAACATTAATCACAAGGTTTTAACTTCAAGGGGCCCAATTAAGGTTGCAATACATTGTGGACAGTAATTCAATTACTTGCCAATTGATTACAAAAAAACTCATTATTCACAATTTTCTTTGCAAATATAAACTGTAGGTCAATTTTACAACATGTACTTATGATAACCAATCATGTCCCACTAAAAGTTATAGGTCTTGACCTCAAAGGGGCCTATTTCAGGTGAAATTACATTCTTGGCACAGCTTGATTTAACACCATGTAAGTGTTAAAAGTCAGTATTTACAACATTCTTGCAAATATACAGTAAACATCTCATTCACAACATGTTGTTATAATAACCAATCATGCTTCCCTAACTATCACAAGTCTTGACCTCAAAGGGGGCCATTTTGGGTGAAATTACATTCTTGACACAGCTTGATTTTAACACCATGTAAGTGTTAAAAGTCAGTATTTACAACATTCTTGTAAATATACAGTAAACATCTCATTCACAACATGTTGTTACAATAACCAATCATGTTGCACTAAAAATCAGGTCTTGACCTCAAAGGGGGCCCATTTCGGGTGAAATTACATTCTTGGCACAGCTTGATTTTGACACCAAGTAAGTGTTAAAAGTCAGTATTCAAAAATCTTCAAAAAGTAATTATTCACAACTCATTCACTGCAAAGATATATAAAACATCCATTGTCACTCTTCATCCACATGGTCATCAATCTCTAAATCAGTTTCTGAATCACTGTCAAAAACTGCAGCATTCAACCGTGTATCACTAGAGTTGCTGGAAACAGGCATATTGTCTTGGTGTCTGCCATAGCCAGATCTTCTCTCAACTGAAAAACAGATGACTTTATATCAAAAGAGAATTCTGTTTTAAAAACTTTGATATTATAAATCTATTCAAGGGTAACATTACTTATTTATTTTCAAATGTCAGTAGTCTGGCTTTGAAGGCTTATGCAGATTTAATCACCACTGAGGCATCAGTATTTCTGAAATTCTGTCACATTAAATTAGAAAACTGAAAAAAAAAAAAAATTATTATTTTTTAACACACATATTATGCTTACCTTCAACCTCAAGTTTTAAGTTGTCATCTTCATGAAATGGCACTCCTGAAATCAGTCCAAGCAAATTTCTCTTATCTGAAAACAAATATTTGAAATCGTAAAAGAATTATCATTATGTTCAAGAAATTGATGCTTTCTAATTTTTCTAATACTAAATATGTCAATAGTATAGTTATATAGGGAAGGGAATTGACCTCCAATAGCATAATCAATTGTTGAGGCCACCTTTTGATCAATTATAGATATAAGATAAAAACAACTGTTAGAGCACATGAAAACAAAGGTAATCAGTTCTCAGTTTCAATATGACAATTGAAACCAATAGTCATCGATTCTGTAAACATATTTTTAAGAAGAAATAGTGAATGCTTTAATTGATTATGTGGTTTGGTTATCGGTAATTGACTGGCAGCCCACAAAATATCCATAAACTAATTATTTGTTTGATCAGTACACCACTAATTAACAGCTCTGGACAGTTGTAAATATGTACTTAAAGAAATTACCATACTAACATTTTGAAACAATGCTTACCTTCTTCAGGTTCTCTATTGTGTGGGAACAAAGGCAACAAGTCAGTGTCTTCAGGCTTAAGCCAGATTTACATGATGTTAATTCAAGTTTGTTTGAACAGTGTAACTAACATTACCCACAAGAATTTTTTTTAATAAAATTTGGATTGCATGTGTACAAGTTAAGTTAAACATTGTAAATTGGCTGACCAAACTTTTGAAAAAAACCCAGAACATCAGGATTTGAACCTGCATGTATGGTAACAGAAAAAATTGACAAGCCGTCACTATAACCACTAGGCTACAAATTCTACTATCATTTTTTTGTCACTTTAAGCTTATATATTACATCTTGCAACAATGTGTCACTTGGCGTCTGCTTGCTTTTCATCATCTGCTAGACCCTTGATACAATGTTCCTATACTAACAATATTTAATGTAGCCTAATATATCCTAGAAAACATCCAGGTACATTATTTTTGTTAAAATGTGTATGTTTACACACAGTTACATCCTGTTGAATGCCAGTGTTATTTGACAGTGCCAGTTGACACAGAGGGGTTTGCTAAACAGATGATAGAACAAATATGATAAAATTCTAGCATAATTATAAAGATTCTCACCTTTAGAAAGCTGCCTGATCATATTTTGAAAAATCTTCTGATGTCTTCTTACTTTTCCAGCAGAGAACAACAGGGCCTCCAAAAAACTACCCTTGTTTACCTCAAAGTAATCAGCCTTGAGAGTCCCTTACGATATTGAATTTTTGTAATAAACATGCTTGATAAGTTAATTTTAGTGCTCTAAAACATTCAAAATAAATAATGAGTCCGGTATAGTTGTGTAAATGTGACGGATAGTTTTCAGAGATATTACTTTACGCCAATGTTTATTTTTGATATGTTGTATGGGGCAATTTCATATAACAGAAAAAATGTACTTTTTTAAACATTTTGATATGAGCAAAAGCGTGACCCACCACAATTTTTTAGGAGTGCATTCTAATTTACTCTCTTCATGTGCGGTGAAAAAATTGGGATGGGTCATGCTTTTGCTCACACTTTTTTATCACTCTGAAAGTATGAAAATGTAGGTTTTTCGAAGATATTGTAAAATAGGTAAATTTTGAGGTCTTCAAAGAGGAAAAAAACCAGCACTAAAACATGAAAAAAGGCATATGGAGGTAATTTCAACAATTTATTTAGCATTTATTATGCTAAAATTATCATGTTGTAGAACTTTGAATATCATGAAATTTTGTGGGCCAATAAGGGCCTTTATCATACCTTGTCCTTTAATAGAAAAATGACTAAACCAAACTTTTTAACCTTTCAAAAAGGAATAGTAAGAAATTACGAAACCTCAAAGTTTATTGCGTATTCAAATTGTAACTTTGCAAGCTTTCATGCCTTCTGGTCTTCTTTTCATTTTCACACTGATTCCTGAAAATTGAATGCATTATAAATTATACATACATACATGCATGCATGTATATGTATATGTATAAGTGTATGTATGTATATGTGTATGTGTATGTGAGTGTATGTATATGTTGCTAATACATTTACAACAATAGCCCAAAAAGTCTGCTGCACACTTAACTTATGAATGTTCAGAGAGGATGGAAAAATGTAACTTAACAATTTTTTAAAATGGCAGCTAGTATGTTAGTATGTGACAAATAGTATGTGTGTACAAGATCTGTCGTGTAAAATATACTCCTTCATTCATATTGATGTCTTCCTATGTATACATGTGCACATTGACGGTATTGATTGTGTCTGTGGGCGTGTATGTATGTGTGTTGATAACCATATCCAAATACATGTATACTGCACATAAAGATTATATTGATGATTCTTTTCAAATATATGTACATTTGGATAATATAGATGACTTTTACATATATACAGTGTGTGTATGTGCTTATGTTTCATATTGATGCTTTTCCATATGACTTGATGTGTTATAATTTCAGCACGTTCCGATGGGGCTACAATTCATTTGGCCAGTGGGCTACTGATTGTGGTATTTGCACTTATTCTGATGTCGCGCAAGACGTTGACTTTGGACAGTGGTTGTTATTGGTAACTGATTTTGAAATGCACGCATTCACTTGTGGCAGCTGATAAAACCTGTTATTTTTCTTCGGAACAAGATACAAGCAGCCAATGTATTTACACTACATTAAAGAGACCTAATTTTTTTGTCTGTAACGTTTGTGACAATCAATATCTATCATCTCCTTAATGCCTAACACCAACCAAATTACCTCTTTGGCCACACGGGTATCGGGATTTATTACTCACCCATTGAAGATATCACTGGTTAATAATTTTACAATGTTATTACACATTGTGTAATAACATCACGTGGTGCCGTACGTATGACTTACAGTTATGACGTCACAATGCTAATACCTCTGTCGTAATAGTATTAGACCTGGCTCGACTCGCGGAAAGTTGAGAGTCATCACACTCGTTGAATTCTTAGGAAAGAAGTACTTTGCTCGATGTTATTTTGCTAATGTTGGGTGAGTAATAAATAAAATACTAAACTATGCCCCGTGTAATACCATATTTATGAAACTCGTGAATGGTATTGGTATCTAACTCGCTTTCGCTAGTTTGATACCAAACCATTCACTCGTTTCATTAATATGGTATTACACGGGACATCGTTTAGTATTCTCTATATGTATTGCACCTCACTTAGATTAATTTGACCAATATTAGGCTTACAACTTTTGTCACAAAGTGTGTTTTCGACACACAGATCAGAATTTCTTTTACATGTTTAGAAGCTCATATATATTTGTCAATCATAAAAAAGATGCTGTGATTTCTTTTCAGTAAAGCAAGGACTTTCTTAGTAGGATTGATAGAAATGATCGTGATGAATATTTTGCTGATTATTTTAGACATTTGACATCGGTGAATATTTCATAACTACATTACTTTATCTCTGATAAAAGTTAATAAAAGCAACACTTCAACGATCTCTGTTGATCTCTGCATTTCCTTTTTCGGACATTTACCACGCATTCCTGTGTTGTTGCGAATGAACAGTTTACTTGCCGTTGCGTGTATTTGTGACGGGTAACATGGGCGGTCAGTATACGTTCACCTTTTCACGAACACTTGGTATCAGCGACATTAAACAAACGCTGAGGACGTTGTCCTCGCTCTTAGCCAGAATTTTTAAAAGAGAAGGCTAATGCTAATTATCTTGCTCTCATCTCTCACTTAGCCATAGTACAATGTTGTAAAAACAAGACCATTTTGGGTAGACTCTGGCTAAGTGAGAGTGAAATCTGATGACACAGTGGGGACACGTGAGAGCGTAGTGGCGGATGTATTCTAATTGATTTACTTACAGTTTTAATTTTATTTAGATAAAATATTACAGTGACTTTGGCAAAAGGTAACAACGAATGCCGCACAGAGTACATTGGTAGCAAATGGGTCTCTGTCTGTGGTTAGTATATAGTAACATAGTTGTTACTTTTATATAAGGGACTGCCTCTCCGTGGTGTAGAGGTTAGAGCGTCCGCCCGGAGAGCGGTAGGTCGTGGGTTCGATCCCCGACCGCGTCATACCAAAAGACGTTAAAATATGGTACTTGTTGGTCCCTGCCTGGCGCTCATTAATGGGTACAACAAGTACTGGTCGGCTCGGAGTCAGTATAATGTGTCTGAGTGGGGTATTCATGCGGCATGGTATCTCAGTGGGCTAGCACTATAAAACCAGCTTAAGCCTGGGCTAGTACAAGCAGCCGCGCATCCACATACACACACTTGCACGTCGTCATATGAGCGAAATACTCTCAAGCACGACGTTAAACCCAATGTCACCTCACCTCAATTTTATATAAGGAGCGTTTGGGTAGCCTATTGATTAAATCAGTCGCTCGTCACATCTAGAGGCGGTGGGTAAGCTTTGTGGTTAAAGCGTTCGCTCGATACACCGAAGACTCGGGTTCGATTCCCAACATGGGCACAATGTGTGAAGCCCATTTCTGGTGTACCCGCCGTGATGTTGCTGGAATATTGCTAAAAGCGGCGTAAAACTAAACTCACCCACTCACTCGTTACAACTAGGAAAAAGGTTCGACTCCCCACAAGGTACAATCTTGGTGCCGTCCGACTTGATATGGCTGGAATAGTGCTAAAAGTGACAAAATAGTGTTAATGCTGCAGTTTACGATATTCTGTCTATATCACAGCGGTTTGTAAATACCCTATACAGAGCCAGACAAACAAACGATATATTGCACAACGCCCCACGTCGTCAGGGTAGTATATGTACAGTCACTGAGCCTTAACACCCGCCTCTTAACCCAAACACTGTTACATTGAGACCTATTTTTAACCAGAATAGCCACGAGGCTCGTTTGTCCAATATAGAGCACTCCTTCTGAACTCGCCTTCGGACGTTTAGATAATGTTGTCTGGCGTTAATGTGGTGTGGGTAGATAGCGAGTTGAATATGTGTATCTGCATATGTTTGTGTGTTGTGACCAACATTCGGCAGCCTTATAGGTTTATCAGATATATATGTACGATTCCCGAGCATTGAATGGAAAGTTTCATACGGTAATACTGCTATGTGGTGTTTCTTTGTCACATTTCACACCGGTAAGTCTTACTGAGTCTCCGAAACGGCTTCTGTTCAGGAGTGATGTATACATGTAAATGGGGTGACAACTGTTTTTTTTATAATTTTTCTGGATTTATGAATTTGAGCGATAGGGGCCAAAAGCCAACATCAGACACTTAGATGCCAGTACCACACAAAACACTTCACCATGCCACATAGTACCACACAAAACATAGTATCGTGCAAAATAGTACTACACAAAACACAGCACCATACCACATAGTACTACCCAAAACACAGCACCATACCACATAGTACCACACAAAAAACACTTCACCATACCACATAGTACCACACAAAACACAGCACCATACCACATAGTACCACACAAAACACTTCACCATACCACATAGTACCACACAAAACACAGCACCATACCACATAGTACCACACAAAACACTTCACCATACCACATAGTACCACACAAAACACTTCACCATACCACATAGTACCACACAAAACACTTCACATACCACATAGTACCACACTTGCCATTACCAACCATACCACATCACCATACCACATATAGTACCACACAAAACACTTCACCATACCACATACAAACACTCCACCATACCACATCACCATACCACAGTACCACACAAAAACACTTACCATACAATAGTACCACTTCACACATCCACCATACCACATAGTGTACACTTCACACAAACACTTCACCATACCACATAGTACCACACAAAACACTTCACCATACCACATAGTACCACACAAAACACTTCACCATACCACATAGTACCACACAAAACACTTCACCATACCACTTCACCATACCACATAGTACCACACAAAAAAACACAGTACTACACAAAACACCATCACCATACAACACCATACACCATACCACAGGTACCACACAAAAACACAGCACCATACCACATAGTACCACACAAAACACTTCACCATACCACATAGTACCACACAAAACACTAGCACCATACCACATAGTACCACACAAAACACTTCCACCACCCACATAGTACTTCACCACAAAACATAGTACCCACATAGTACCACACAAAACACTTCACCATACCACATAGTACCACACAAAACACATCACCATACCACATAGTACCACACAAAACACTTCACCATACAACATAGTACCACACAAAACACTTCACCATACCACATAGTACCACACAAAACACTTCACCATACCACATAGTACTACACAAAACACTTCACCATACCACATAGTACCACACAAAACACTTCACCATACCACATAGTACCACACAAAACACTTCACCATACCACATAGTACCACACAAAACACTTCACCATACCACATAGTACCACACAAAACACTTCACCATACCACATAGTACCACACAAAACACTTCACCATACCACATAGTACCACACAAAACACAGGCAACACTTCACCATACCACATAGTACCACACAAAACACATCACCATACCACATAGTACCACACAAAACACTTCACCATACCACATAGGTACCACACAAACACACACCATACCACATAGTACCACACAAAACACATGGCACCATACCACATAGTGCACCACACAAAACACTTCACCATGCCACATGGTGCCACACAAAAAATGTACCACCAAAACACTTCACCATACCACATAGTACCACACAAAACACTTCACCATACCACATGGTGCCACACAAAACACTTCACCATACCACATAGTACCACACAAAACACAATCACCATGCCATGGTTGCATACACAAAGTACCACACACAAACACACCATACCACATGGTGCCACACAAAATACGCAGCACCATACCACATAGTACCACACAAAACACGGCACCATACAACATAGTACCATAATACCATACCACAGTACAACAGAAAAACACTTCACCACAAAAACATAGCACCATACCCAATAGTACCACATACAACATAGTACCGTACAAAACACAGCAAACCATCACCGTACCCATTAGCTACTACAAAGGCACTTCACCATAACATAGTACCACACAAAACAACCACATGCATGCAACACAAAATACTTCCACCATAGTACCACACAAAACAAAACACAGCATACCACCACACCACATAATACCAAGCCACACATACTTCCATACCACAATTCCCCACACATACCTAATAATTGCACCACACATAGGCACTTCACCATACCACATAGTACCACACAAAACACTTCAACACCACATAGTACCACACAAAACACTGCACCATACTCAATCATATTGCATCCCACATACAACACAGCACAAACACACCATAGTACCACACACAGCACCATACCACATAGTACTACACAAAACACATCACCATGCAACATACCAAACATCAAACACAGTACTCACACAAAAACAGTCCAAACACCCAATAGATACCACACACAAAACATAGCACCATTCCACATAGTACCACACACTGTGGTTCACCATACCTAATAGTACCTCCACGTCTCACTTCACCATGTCTAATAGTGCCTCACCATACACTTGGCCATACAACATAGTACCACACAAACACTCCATCATACCACATCACAGTCTCGGTACTACACAAAACACTTCACCATACATAGTACCACATCAAACAATACCATTATAGTACCACACAAAACACAGCATCAACTTCACCATGCCACATAGTACCAATACAAAACACTTCACCATACCACATAGTACCACACAAACACTCACCATACTCATATATCACAAACACAGCAACATACCACACAATGAATGACCTGACACAACACACATGTATTTCGGAGTTATTCATATCAAGACATGTGTGTGACAACCTTAACACTGGGAGAAGGGGACAAAAAGTTACCAAAAACACTTTTCATGCAAAATATTAAGGATTGAAAAGGATAAAATAACAGGATATCAATACTATTGTGTCATCTTCAGTGTAAATCTCCACAGCTCCTAAATGATAACGCGCTAAGGACATGGTCCAAGAGATATTGAACTGTGCTTGCCAGAAGCACTTGAGCAACTTGAAGGCCGTAATAAATATCTCTGTATCCAGGGCTATACTTAGCATCCACCTATATCATATCACAATCAGCCACATATACAAACAATGGCATATTAGCTGGGCAACTGCTCCTGTTCATATTCATTCCTTCATAAACATTGTTATTACCGATACTTCTGACAAACTAAATCATACAAATTTTGTCGAAATGGTCTCGCCAACCACCGCATTGACAACTTAATCGCCGTGTTAATATAGAAAGATAACAAGATTATCTGTTGTCGTTATAATAGATTATTGACAGTCAAACATCACTCTGTTTATTCACTCAGTTTGTGTGTTTGTTTGTCGTTTAACGCCTCACTCAGCAATATTCCAGTTATGTGGCAGCGGTCGATAAACAATCGAGTATGGACCAGACAATACAGAGATCAACAACCTGCGCAATTGGGATACGATCCCATGCCCCAGCCAAGTCAGGAGCCTGGTCACTGGCCGATCACGGGTATCATCCAATCATGTTGCAGGTTAGATATGACATGTAGATATGTGTATTTGATTGTACTAGAAGTATGTGTATGATTATGACAAGATGACAAGGTAAAGCCTTTCCCCGTGACATTAGTACTCATCTTGTACATTTCAGAACTGTATTGAAGCTCTGTTCTATAAAAAACACAACGTTACCTTGGACCAGTGTGCACCAAGTCAGCGAGTCTGACCACCCGATCCCTTTAGTCGTCTTTTACGACGATCTTCACGGGTTCCAGTGTGCTAGAAGCGTTGATGTATTTATTTCTTTGTCGGGTTACTATGACGACTTCACGAAGAGTTTATTCTCTCCATGGTACAAACACCCTATACATCCAGTAGCAGCCCCAATCACTTTGCAAGAGGGAGCAACCGTCATAAGTTTTGCTTTAGTAGTGAAAATTCAAAGATTGTTTCATGGTGCTGTGTAAAAGGTATTTTGGTCGTTCATGGTAAAAAGATATACGTTTTAACAAAACGAATTAAATAGGTAAAATAAAATGGATGCTCACTAAGAGGTAGTTGCTCTACGGCAATGTGAAAGCCAGACAGGTTTCTTTGCGGAGTCATTATCCTGCTGGCCAATTGATATATATTCACCTATCTTTGACGCCGTTTTCGATTTCAAATATTTGATATCGTTTTCATTTGATGAGAAAATCTAGAATAATCCTACAATTTCACCACGCGCGGTGATGTTGTGGATTGACTTCCTGTCCGGAGAGGATCGATAAGGATTATCTTATCGTATTGTCACTATACATATTCAGAATATTGATGAACTTGTTACAGACATTGTCACGAGTGATTGACGAAACTGTACCCTCACTTTCCTCTTCTGTTTGCGGTGATGTTGCTATAATAAATGGTGATAGGGTTATTAACATACAGAAAAAGATTGATATTCCTGAGACTCACAGCAAGAAAATGTGGACTTTCTATTAATACAGCTAGAAAGAAAATGGGTGGAGTCTTCAAAAAAAAAATCATAGTATCGAAACATGAAACGCGGGTTTTGGACATAAATATAGACACTTTCGTATCATAAATAGAGGATATTGTATGAGTGCCCATGTCATACTATGTGTACGACACGAGTGCCTGCATGTTGGCATTTCCCGAGAACGAGGGACATACCAGTACCGATATTTAAGCACGAGTATCCTAAACATAGCATGACATGGGCACGGTTATAATATTCTGTTTATTACCGAAGTCGTCAAATTGAGGAAAATAAACCCACATCTACTTTCAAACACAGACTGCCCCATCCCCACCCCACCCCACCCACCCCGCCGTCACCGCGTGTAGAACAACGTCACTGAAGAGACGTGACGTCATAACATTGTTCATGACGTCACGTCACCATGACAAAGTGCTATTTCGCCCTAGGGCATCGTATGAAGAATATTAACCCCGATATTTTCGCCCTCGTAGGTAATAATGTATATCTTTTAATAGCAGTATCTTGCAGACGTGTCCTGTTGCACACTCATACAAACACAAGCTGATTTAGAACACGCGGAACTGAACATTGTCATTAGAACATGGACAGATACTGAATACATAGTATTGACTCGAGGTCCAGACCGCACAGCCTGTATGTTTAATTATATGGTGTCTTCTTAAATGTTTTTAGCTTGTCTATAACGTGCCCCGAAATTCCATTTTGATTCATTGTCGAAAAGAAATATCAGATCATGGTCACATGACCGGTGGGGTATATCACAACACTGTCATTATGAGGCATCCAGACAATATAACGTAGGACAAAGGGTGTTTTGCAAGAATTGATTATATTAGACTGTCACTATATATAACGGGCAGGTAAGCCATGGTCAGTCTCATCACAATGATGGATGAGATGTTTACCAGGCGGTTTCTTCTGGGAGTTTTGCTGTGCCTGGTGCTGGGATGTCAAGATGCGGGTGCGTTCTATTGAATATTATTATATTTACATAGTAATGTTGGTGAATCAATCTTGCAAAATCCTATATCTTGAATGCTTGGTCAACGTGGTCATGTGTCAGGTCAAAAAGGATAACGCTGTTGTGATATAGGACGAGGGTCAGAGATATCAACGTACTATCGCCTCGCCCTTTGTCCTCGGTACTGTCCATCTATATCCCGATATGTACTGGCTTCAGATCTCCAGCCATCTTAGAGTATACGCAAATATTCGCGTGCGTGCAGTCAACTGTTTGTTGTTTGAGGTCTGGCATACTCCAACTTACAACGTGGATCACGAGAGTTTCAATAAAGAAGTTTATATCCATAAAAATTGCCCTCATTCTTCATCTCCTCAACTTTTAGAATGCCAATAAAAAAACTCAGGAATGTTTACTGAAAATATTATCCTCCTGTACTTCCTGTCACATTTTTAATGACTTTCCCCATGTTCTTGTATATTTAAATCATGTAGACGAACCGTTTGCATTACTATAAACATGATAATTTCGTCTTAACCCTCCCCAAATATAGTTATTTTACTTTCATTGTCATTACTTTCTGCTCAAGCTATTTTTGCAGTTATATTTAGGGCCCGAAATATTGGGTTTCATTAACCTGCAAAATTGCCTAGGCCACATTCAGTGGTCACTGTTAACTTTCACAAGCGACACGTTTAAATGTGGAAAGAGTTACACGAATAATTTTTGCCAAGCGACACAGCGCTTAACACATTCTTAGTAACATTCCAGTTGCGACTGACTGCGGAGGCCCACTCACGGCTACACAGACCAATTCGTCCAATCCCCTACTAGAGTGATGACAGGTATCTTACCTATTGACGCATGTCATGTGACCATGTGTTCTGTTACATGTATCTTCAAGTTAACGTATCACAAAATTCATAATCACCATCACTTAGTTCATCGTCTTCTATTCTCCCTGGTTTATCACACGTCAAGTTGGCACGCGGTGATAAACAAATTAAATGCTACACTCCCTCACTCACTCACTGTGGCCTGTCTGAAGGCAGGTTTGAAGCAACAATTCAGATGGCTAGAGTTAAGAAAACATTCACCTAGTTAGAGATTTGCATGGTCATGACAATAATAGTGTGCGTAATACATGTAATAATACATAATTATCAATAATAATAGTAATTACAATATTTGATATTAAGGTGTGTATGTCTCTGATTTGATAAGTACAATGATGTATTTGCAGCTATCTCGTGTGTGACTGGATAATCTCTGCCCAAAACAGTGATCAAACCATCTTCATTGAGTTGGTCACGTTTTCCGTTACAAGCAAGTACTGTGGGAATGACACAATATCCTTCTATAACGGACAGGTTGCTACAGGTAAGTCTCTAATTAATGAAACCATATTTTGTGACTGCCCTTTCATTTACAACCTCCGCATTTTAGGATTATGTATAACGATCCAGTCCTTTCGATCATCTGTAAGAACACTTAATGTACTGATATTTACTTAAGATATAGTGCGATGGTTCTACGCGGCTTTTAGCAATATTCCAGCAATGTCACGGCGGGGAACACCAGAAATGGGCTTCACACATTCTACCCATGTGGGGAATCGAACCCGGGTCTTCGGTGTGACGAGCGAACGCATCAGACACTAGGCTACCCCACCGCCCACATTTATCCAAAGACCCCACAGAAGTTTGGAATCTGTACGAACAGTGATTTATTATATTATTAGTCAGCGATACGATTGTTCTTTTTTTATTTTGCCCCGAACTCAGTTATATCGACCTGCATGGTGGCAGTCTGTGAATAGTCTGAACCACACAATCAAGTGATTGACACAATATACATCGATTTATGCAGTTGGAACTGCGATGACATCAGGCCTCGAATACTTTAAATTGCATTAGTTATTCTGACAGCTTAGCATGTTAGTAAGGTAAGATAGTCATATCTGCAGTGTATAAAACTTAAGCGTGATTTTCTTGGACAGAAAAACCCAGCGTTCTGACGACAAGCTGACGTTCTCTTTTGCTCTCGTAGAACGTGAATTGTTGCTGTGTCTTGAAAGCTCTACCATGTATATGATACTGATATGATGATATCGTTTCCACATCTTGTATCAATATACACTATACATAGTGAAATTAATGGTACGTTTTGAAATTTTCAGAATCGGAGCTATTATCACATTCATGCGGCTCGAACCCGAAGTATTTTCAGAGTTCGAGTAGCAAAGCCCTTGTGAGTGCACAAATACACCTGACGAGGTTTGCTGCTAATATATTCAGTTTTAGTTACAAAGCAATTTCCAGTAAGTATTTTTATGTGTTGGTGTATTAATATTTCAAATATGTTTCAATACTATTTTCCCAAGCGTATGCCTGAGAGGTAAAAACAGTGTTAAATCATTGGGTAGCATTCATTGTCAATTAAATTATAAACGTTCCCAATAGTATCATATCATGAACAATTAGATTACAGATAATTGCTGTAGTTACTAAAATAGAATGCAAATATACATGTCCCACATTGCATGATAGAGGTCGCAACTCTAGTTATTTCTATTCTAACTGTGTAAAACAAAGTACAATATTCTAAAATTAGCATCTCCTTATAGCCTATTTCTTCTCTTCCCAGAGACCATGTGTAATTTGCTTCTGACGCCGGGAGATGGCTATGCTAGTTACATCCTGTCCCCTGGCTACCCAGATGACTACTACAAGTAAGCAACTTTATAAATATAGACTAAGTACTTTGAAAGCAATGAATCCAGATGTAAGCAACATCCTTCATTATGCATTGTACTGTTTCGCCATTGTACTGTTATAAATCCTCTGGACCATTTCGTTATAATAACATAGTTTGAGCCTGTTCCCAACGTTTGTGAGTTCGATGTATGTTACTGGTACGCCTCTCCAAACAATCCCATCGTGAACAACTTCGTAAAAGCTGTTGTGTTTTGTAGGCCAAAGGAGAAATCAAAATTGAACGTCTCGTGGGAGTTCTGTCCTATACAGGCGCAATGAACAACAACATTTTAAAAAAAGGATATAAGCTTTTTAAGCTGATAACTCTCTTAACTATTTCCTAAATCCTAAAAAGTGCAGAATATTGATGTTAATTCATGCATTTTCCCTTTTGCAGTAACTTGAATTGTGCCTGGACCTTAAGAACAGCTTCCATGCGTCATATTGCCCTGGACATCATATACAACACCTTTGATGAAAGCACTGACTGTGCGAGCGATTTTGTCCAAGTCTATGACAGTAAGAACATGACAGTAATTATTAAATTGTAGGGGTCGAATTAATACGGTTATAAGTTTTATGGAAGTAATAAGTATAATGTAAATCAACGTGGAGCGTTTCAGACATTGACTTCTATTTCTACAAATGCAAGATACAATATATGAATTACATGTATAAACATATCAGTGGACAAGGGGCTCAGAAATAATGTTGAAGTGTTATTAAGTCTTCTTGGGTCCGATGATCGTGAGTTCGAATCCTCGATCATGACTTTTCCTCAGCACCATCAACGTTTGCGCGATCCTCACAATAATCAAAGTGGTATTTGTCTAACATCTTATATCCGCATCCTTTGGGCTTTACTTATTTGTTAATCAGAACAATTTAAAGAATTTTTACAAAAGTCACAAACACCTGATATATTTATTCCTGTCTGCAGTAAATAATGCCAATGAACCGTTAGGACCACTGTGTGGGGTCCACAAAGGCACATTAATCACGCGGGGATCCATTATGAGAGTTGTCTTCAAAACCAATGGCGTTGGCTCCGGGTCTGGGTTTCGACTGAAGTACAGGATGGTAGACTATGACGGTGAGTAAGAAGATGCAATGTACATATCTTTACAATGTATGGGATGTTTCATCAACTAGTGTACGAAAAAGGGGTGACGCTTCTGAACTACATACACAGTAGGTGTCATGCTCATCTTTTTTCTGAGGCGGTGGGGTAGCCTAATGGTTAAAGCGCTCGCTCGTCACACCGTGTTTGCTTCCCCACATGGGTACTATGTGTGGAGCCCATTTCTGGTGCCCCCGTCGTGATATTGCTGGAATATTGCTAAAAGCGGCGTTAAACTAAACACTCACATCTTTTTTCACCTGGATATATATTCCTGCTATTAACAAATACTTGCGTTAGCTCACCCTTCATTAAATTACCCGAAAGCACTGTTTCTGGACTACAACATTCGTGACTACCCGTGTCTTTCCGGCAAGCCGGATGGCGTGTCGTACCCCTCTCGTAGCTATGTTTACGACTGGGCCCTGTCTAAGCGAAAACGGGCATAGAGATAAAAATAGTCAAGTACTATTACCAAGGAAAGATAACTCTGAATTTCCAAACATGGTTCCTACAATATCCTATACCCTTGGGCGAAACAGCAATGCAGTCATTCCCTGTGGAAATATGTTTCAGTGTTTAAAGTTGCTGATCCTTTAGCACAAAGTTTATGTTAATTTGTGCTTTGCATAGTTTAGCGAAGTTTCCAAGTTCAACGGTGCTGCCATTTTTGTGCTTCGAAATGAGTTTTAATGCGCGCGATTTGATTGGTTTGCCACGATTCTTGGCAATAATGGCGTACGATAGGGGTACGGGTCTTCAAATATTTCCCGGATGGAGGCGAGTAGTCACGAATGGGACTACAAATGTCGTCTTTGTCTTCTTGAAACCATCAATAAAACTGAACACACTTGCTTAATGCCTCTATCAGAACAGTGTTGAACTGTTTGTAATTGGTTGATTAATGGTTTGATACCATACAATATCCTGTCATATGATGTCATGTTCTTATTCATTCTTTTTTTATCATTTTTGTATTTACAATTATATTTTTCCGAGATCCCCCTATTGAAACATGTTTGTGGTGACTCATTAGAGAATATTACCAGAAAGCATTGTTTTAGGGTTGGTCTGCTAATGTTGTCTTTTCCTTCATGTAAAACATTACCATCAACAAAAGTAAGACATGACAGATCAAAAATACAAAATATTCCATTGCGCACTAGTTCTGCTCGCGCGAAGCTTGAAAAAAACATGTAATGTTATTTTACAGTGTGTTACCGTTTGTTTACAGATTCCCACTTTAACGCACAGGCTCCAACAGCAACTGCACTTACAGCAACATCGACTCCACAGAACCTTACGTCTCCCGGCTACCCTGTCAAGTACTACAAGTAATGTCAATTCCTTATCAGTTAGTGTGTTTCATAAGCTTCAGGTCATGTAAAATACAGTGGTCATGTAGAATTCGCCTTATTTTTATAGTTGTGATAAATGCAGGTGTGTACATACAGATTTAGAAATAGTCTGGAATTATAGGCAATAACTCCATTGTTGTCATCAATGTTTAACTGAGGGATTATTTGAAATGCTGATAGTATATGTTGTTGTTTTCTGTTTTCTTATAACTGGTGAACTATATTATTACCTATGTTAGCCACTGTACAGGAGCTCCTTTATAATGAGTCATTCTAGTCAAAAGCTTCAAACAAACATTTCTTAATTTCTTTCTTTATATATCAGTAACAAATATTATATGTGGACCATTACGGCAGAATCAGCTGCATACCGAGTCCGAATTCCGATTCTCTTCCGACATGGAAGAATCAGATAAAACCTGTAGTCGAGATTTTATCAGCGTATATGATGGTAAGAACAACCAATATTATACACGATTCAATTTACTACAGAACTTCATAAATGCTTCCTAGTTTCTAACTATTCCTATACATTGTATTTGGTTTGTGCATGTTGCTTTCTCTAATGGAGACCCGGGCGTTGTTGTCCTTGTTGACACTCCATGGTGGGTGGGGAGCTAGGAGGGTGAATCATACATATTTTACCATGGCACCCCCACGCAAAAAACTCTCTCACGAATATGAAGATTCGTTTTCTTCTGAGGATGAGGGAACTGCTCCTTAGGTAACTCATATATTCTGTTCCACATTTGAAATGACTATTCTACATGTTGAACTATCACGATGGTGTTATTATCAACACGAGCACAGAGGTCAGTAACAATCATTGAGGATCATTATCGTTGTTCCTGTGTTCCTATGTTGGCAACATCGAAAGGGGAACGCTGTATACATTCATGGTGACAGAATTCTACTTCATCAACTATTTTGATGGATTTCATTACAAATCTTCACAGATGCTTCACGATTTCTAATTATTCGTGTGTTTAGTTTGAAGACGTTGCTATCTCTATGAAGAGAAATGCTCCTACAGCTCATATTCTGTTCCACGTTTAAGATGACCTTTTTACATATTGAACTGTCATGATGGCACGAACACAAAAGGTCATAATAACCGATGAAGGTTATTATTGTTGTTATTGTGATCCACCTGAACCTTAGCTTCTGTTGCCAACACGAACACTGTATACATCCATGGTGGCTTCATCAACAGGGCCAACACCTTCCAGTCTACTGCTGATGTAACTTCTTTGAGCGGCATATTAGAAGTTGGGAAGTACAATATAGAACAAACTTTATGGATAACAACTATGTGGGAAATATTCTGAAATGGGTGAGAAATAGACATTTTACTAATTGGTCAATTTGAAATATCTTCCTGACTTCCCAGCGGGACAAATACTATTACCATGATTATGTTATGCTACATTATTTCTAAAATATAACGTGTCAATATCAAGTTTTATCTGAGAGCTTTGTTAAAAAACGATGCCTGTAAACAATTCATATGTAACCGGACTGCTATGTATTAAAACCAGGTAGCACTGTGAATGACCCTTTACTGAAGACTCTTTGTTCCTGGACAAGCGTTCCGATTGACAGTACTGGTCCTTCCATTACGCTCAAGTTCTCCACTGACAGCAGAGGTGTCGACAAAGGATTCCAGTTGGAGTACAACTCATTCACAGGTAAACAGAAACTGCAATGTATATTCGTGTCTATTAATGATGCTGCATTTGACGTAAGGGTTTTACATGTTGAGTAAGGGTGTCGTTTACATTTGCACAAAGGGAGACAATTGATAGTCAATATTTCAGTGAATATTCTGTTCAACTGACAACTTTGTTTCTGGGTACTCGGAAGGAAACGCATAGCCCGCACTCCTTAAAGATATTTAAATGTCTGTGTAATGAAATGTACTATTCCAGCATTTGTAATCCACAAATATGTATGCATGTTTGTTTGTGTATGCGTTTTTGCGTGTGTGTTGGCGTGTTGTATGATGAAGTGGCGGCGTCATGGTGAATAGTGGGATATGCTTTTTCTAAATGTATCTGTTGTTTATGATTCTGATTCTGGACGCAAGCAAACACTTCCTACACAGCAGACATTCGTGTGTATTTTACCCGTGAAGATCTGGGTTAGACTTGGTTTTCAGTAACCCAAACTTGTCGTCAGAGGCGATAGGGATCGGGTGGTCAGACTCGCTTGGTTGATCTATGTCATCGCATCCCAATTACGTCGATCAATTCTCATGCTGTTGATCAGTGGATCGTCTGGTCCAGACTCGATTACTTACAGACCACTGCCATATAGCTGTAATATTGCTGAGTGTGGCGTTAAACAACAAACTATCCAACCAATCAACCATGGGTATTTAATGTTTATTAAATCAATTGTAATCCAAAATTGTGTGTGAGAGCGTGTGTATTGCAATATAGTACCGGACTGATGATTACGTCATCAAGAATGACAGTTTCATCTACATACTTACAGACTTACACTTACACTTTCACTGTATTCCCTCAATACGACATTTAGATACTGGTGTTTTCATGACTCAAGATGTCACTTACTCTATGTACAGCACTTGATGTATAACCATACATTCACCCGCATCGTAGCTTATGTTGAAATCCTTAAGTCAAGCCAGGCTTCACTGTTTTGTTTCAGTACCACTTACTGATGGAGCGTCAAGTCAGCTGGCCAATGGACTACTGATTGTGATTATGGCACTAATGTGATTAGCCGCCTGGATATAGCACTTGCGATGTTGACTTTGAACGGTGGCAGTTGAATGGAAAATACATGCATTGTCAATTAGTTACAAGTGTTATTTTATCTTCGGTTTTAACGTAAACAAAATAATTCAACATATTTATTACAAATGTCAGATGTATTCTTACCTGGAATTCTAACATATACATGAAACATTGCACAATAAAAATATTAAAACAATCCGTGTGCGTGGTAGTATCGTATGTTGTAATGTGTCTAAATGAGTCTAATTTTGATGTGTGTTGTTTAAAAGTGCGCTATATGCATCACAATGAACTGTTTGAAAAGTACATATTTCCTATTGTTGTCATGGGAACGAAGTCATGTACTTAAACATTTCTTGCCCACTGTCACATTCTGTTGTAGAAGAGATGATGTTGGTGTTTCGGTTTCATTGTGTTTGATAAGAACAAACTTCATGGACGAACAACTTCAGCGACGTTCCGATACAGATTCTTCATACACACTAACAACATAACACACAGCGGTATACCATGCAGAACGCACACACATAACCATAAGTGTTGTCACAAATTACAAAAGACATTCCCGCACTTATCTCACAATCCATCGATCAGCTGTAAGCAACCCATCAGCTGTAAGCCATCTATTGGCGACTAACCATCAATCGGAAACAAGTTGTCAGTCAGCTGTAAGCCATCTATTGGCGACTAAACCATCAAATCGACAACAAGCTTTGAGTTAACTTAGTAACCGCATGATTTCACTCAAGCACAAAATCACATCATGAACATATGCATAAAGCAAATTAAAGCTTATCTATGTTGAAATTGCACCGCAACTATGAATGGCAAATTCAAAGTATGCCCCCCTGATATACCTCTTTAGTTACCCATTATCTCTAGTTGTTGTATTTTCCTACGCTGGAAGAACAAATGTCCATCCAATTCGACCTTCATCGATAGATATTTTATACTGCCCTTTGAAATACCAGTTATTCATATTTCGACAGCATCCTGGGTTCAACCACTTTCAGTTTATTTCAGTATTTTTTCCATCCATCACTGATTGCCATTCGGGTCACTATATACCACAGCTGTCTTGTATAATCTCGGAACTAAATTGACCACCTTCTAACAGGAATCGGAAGTGTGTTTGTTGCGTAAAGTCCCAGTCAGAAATTTCCAAAATTATGACGGCGATCAGTAAATAATCGTGTCTAGTCCAGACACTCCAGTGGTCAACAGCATGAGCATCGTTCTACGCAATTGGGATACGATGACATGTGTCGGCCAAGTCAGCGAACCTGACCACCCGATCCCACTAGTCGCCTCTTGCGACAAGCATGGGTTGCTGAAGTCCACTGCTAACCCGGATTTTCACGGGACCAGAAGAATCATGGTTCTGATACTCTGAAGTATAAGAAACATCTCCACTGGGGTCAAATCCGAGAACCTTTCGCGTGATGTTCTCATCCTAAAAGGCAATATTTTCAAGTCATCATAACACAAGAATTAGAAAGATTTTACCATTCTTCACCCCCAAAGGCAAAAATATATTTACAAATCATTTACAAAGCATGTGGTTGTCTAGAATATCTTACAAACCCACTAAGGCATTTGCTGCAGTAGGACAGTCGATGTTCATATTTAATTAGATCTGTCACACAGTCGTCAAGTGAAATTTTGAATCTGAAAAAATGCTAACTTGCTAACAAACGATCTCCCTCCTTAGAACTGCTGTACTTGCTTACATATAAAAGAAACGACCCATCAACTTCGCCATAGCTATTACAGGCCTACCAAAGGAAACTTTCCCACTGTGCAGAAAAATGCAGTAAAGCCCACATTTTTAATCGTGGAAATAGCAACATAAACATAATACCTAGCTACTGAAACAGTAAAAACGGCAACGAAAAACTATGAAACTGCAACATATTTACATCAGCGAACTTTGACCTCTACTGAGCATGCGCATTACGACCCGCGCTTCTGTCAAATTTCCGAGCAACTGTGCGTCGCCTCGCGTAGAACATGGATTGAATATGTCCAAATAATTACTGTCAATCATGTCATACGAATGGAAAGTAAACTAAACAAGTGTGCACACAAGTATGATGATGATAACTGCCAAATAACACAACAGAAATACTTTAAAAAGGGAATGTAACCTTTGATCAAACTGGAAAATGGCAACATGCGGTCGAAACTTCCTCTTCCATGTGCGCATGCGCAAAGTCGA